TTGCAAGGCTTAATTCCAAGGAGGCCTTAACCTTCCTAGTTGTCTCCCTACATTCTCTGATAACAGTCAGAGGATGATTCAGGAGATTCATAATGATTCAGGAGATCAAAGCGCAAAAATCGTACTCCTCCAAAGTCCCTCTAGATCCTGTTTTAGGCACTAGATGCTTTCTTCTCTACCCTGACTTTAAGCCAAAAACTGTAAGCACTGCTAATCAATAAAAGTTCAAACATAGTTAAGAAAACTGTTAAAGGAAGATGAATTAAAGCCAGGAATTCTAGATGCCAATTCTACACAGAAGCAGGCTCAGTGTCACCTGCCTCATGTGACCTTATGCTTGGAACAAAAGAGTATGGAGGAACACCACTGGGTCAGTTGCAATAGTCTGGACTGAGCTGCTGCTTCACACTGAGAAAAGCAAATCCTATGGGGAAAGCAGTGAGGCAGAAGCAGCAGAGTAGAAAGATATGTCAACATGCTTCAGCTACAGGAACTCTTGAAAAAGTAATATATTAGGTGAGAACAAAGGTCAGTTTTGGTTTTATTCTTTCTGACAATACACCAGTAGCAAATATGAAACAGTAAAGTGTGTAAGAATGAAACATTCTTAGACTGTTAATATCTCTGTATATTTTACAGTTAAAAGTAGTCAGTAAGTTAGAGTATTTCTGAGTGGAGACTGTATTTAAGCTAAGATTTTAAAATAACTATCATGTTCCACATACAAGTCTAATAATTTTGACCCCATAACCCTGAAAAAAGTCTTATAGCAGTGAGTTCCACTACTATGTTACACAGTAATGAAATAAAAGTTTGAAATTTGCTGCCTGATCACTTCATTGAAATCTTAATTCTTAAAAGCTATCAAACATTCCCAAATCAAAGTCATGGACAATGTCAAACTGGTCCTTTTTTGTTTGTTTGTTTTTTAAGATGAGCATTGAACATGGTATTGGAGAAGACAACAAACCGTGACTTTAAGTAGTGGAATAATATTTTTGTTCATTTTGCTCTCAATTTCTCTAATTTTTTTTTTATTGCCACTGAGCCCCAACCAAGCATTTGCCGAGAAGCATGCTGGCAGCAAGATCTTCTTCCTTAGCAGAGTTTAGAACTCTTCAGTCTTCATTATTACACACATGACGTACAGTGATTTGCAGTTAATAACACTAAGGTACACCTGGCACTTTGGCACTTGGCTATTCAGTGTCAGAAATCTTTCTGAAATTCAGTAAAGGAAGCTTCAGATTTAACAATATATAGTCCTTTCAGCAGAAAGTCACAAAGTCTTAAAAACATTATTTGGATTACTGAGTTCAAGACCTTACTATGTATAAAGCCCAATATTTCTCCTCATTCTGTGGCTCAAGTAGTTTGTACAGAAAAAAATTTCACTTTATTACCTTATTCTTGTTTCTGAAGTCTTGTCACAGTAGCAACAGAAGACCCCAGAATGACCTTCTGAATGTGACTGCTTTATATTAGCTTAAAAAGGGTGTGTGTGTGTCTTTTCTTTGCACCCAGTTATATATTTGAATGTAAACTGGTATTAAGAACAGGCAATGGTAAATTTGGATTTACATTTTCTATATTTGTGAGAAAGCAAAGTCCTGATGAGCAACAAGAAGAGCTGAAAACAGAGGCACAGGCCAGCTGGTCTCTTCTTCCAAGTGTGAAAGCGCAAATATGGTTTGTAATGTGCCTCCTAAAAATGAAAAGTTTGACTACACTAAGTGGAAAACATAAAAGGATTACCACCATCACCATGTATCTGTGGCTTTGTGAGTGATGACTGCTGCAGGGCTTTCGAGGTTTTTTAGAAGAACATGACTAGAACCCTACAGAGATTTAAGAATGGAGACTCTATTTAAAGGATTTGAACATCCTTAGGTGCAAAATAGGCGCCAACACACTTTGCTTAGAGACCATACAGTTCCAAGAACATGAAAGCTGATTTTTAAGCTAACAGGAAACTCTGTGCCCTCTAGATTTTGCCAGTAGGTTCAGATGCCTGAGAAGATAAGCCTGTGATCCATGTTAGATACAAGCATATTTAAAAACCTGTGCATGACCATAATTACCATGTTAGGCACCCGAACTGCAGCTAGGAGAAACAGTGCAGTAATAAGCCCTTATCACAGCAATAGGTTTTCAGTATGAGATTAGAGCATATTAAACATATGCACATTCCCATTTTTAACACACATGTTCATTCTCAATTTTAATGCAAGCGCAACAAAACTGTCACTTTTTAAAAACCATTACATATGAAGATTTTCAAACACCCCATAACTTTTAACTTGCCTCTCCTATGAAGGAGCCTATATTGTGTATAGCCTATATAATACTATGAAATGTACAGTTACTAAAACTGTGCATAAGACAGAAGATCAACATATTAATATCCTTTTGGAAAACAGATGGATGTATTGTTTAGTTTTAAATGATTTCACAGACTAAGCTTGTGTGACTTATGAATTTATTACATGATAACTAGTACAATGCTTAAGGCTGAAATTCAACCCTATGCAGAGGAACTAGTGCAAGATTCGCATACTACTAAAGTACTACTAAAGCACTGCTTCCAAACAGGCAACAAACAAACCAATACATAAAGCATCAGTGGTGCTAACAGTGACCCTAAGAGGATCTCCTCTTAGGAAAAACATCTTAGGAAATTTTCTTATGAAAGATTTCACTGACAGGGTTTGGGTCTAGACACTAACCACAAGAAGCATTCTCTCAGATATTTTCCTGGATTTAAGTGTAGAAATACATCATTTTCTTAAGACGCTGCCTTGAAGGGTGAAGTTTTGAGAGAGGTATCAAAAAATGGGAGGTTTGAGGCGTGTGGTAGAACTACAACATGATTTTCAGTGTCTTAAATACCAAGACAAACCCGCACTGCTGATAACTACGTAGCACTTTACAAAATGTACATTATATGTATATTATATATGCATATAAACCAGTGTTATTTCAATCACTAAGTTCTTCCTCATCACTGAAATAAGCACTTTTCTTAATCCGTGGACGTTTTGAATCATCTGAAATTGAAGATTCCCCTGCAGTCTGTGTCCATCTTTGTTGCTCTTCCTCAATTTTGGCTTGCTACAATGAAAAAAGGAAAAATATTAACTAGGATTAAGAACAATTAAGATGCATTACAAATAATAACGCTAATTATTAATATGCATTGAATTATTTACTAAGTTAAAGAATTCAAGCGGTTCATCTCCACTTCCAGATAAACTGTGAGATGAATGCACTAGATAACATTTCTGAAAGTAGTTCTCACATGCAAACAATAAGCCTTCTGCACCAATGCAGGCCACATGGAATACCCTCTATTTTCAAACAGAGGAACCTTGCACCTGGCAAACTTACAGAACTATACAGCAGCTTCGATCTGAAGCAAGGAATGCTGCGTGTTTTAAATTGACTTATTGAATCAGTTTTGTTCTACTAACAAGTCTTCTATCTGTTGTTTTTTGCAGTAATTCATCCAGGCAATGAATGTCTTCAGGGATGTAAAGGTTATTCAACTAAAGGTTGAAAAAGATGCTTCCTACTTTTACTGGAAAATGTGCTATCCCAGTTAAAATCTTTGGATGGTGTGAGCAATGGGAATATTTCCTGTCTTGTTAACATTTATAGTTTTACTCACAATTGTGAAGTGCTCTCGGGGTGTGTGGGAGGATAATTTTGCATATTTGCATAATTTGTTTGGACTACACAATGTAAAAGTGTTGCACTCATTGCAGTCATATTCTGGACAAAGTTATCTTAGAAACTCTGAGGGTATTTTTGGGGGGATAGGAGCACACAGGGGCCAGCTGAGGACTAGGGAGCCATGAAGTTTGACCATCAGGTCAGGCTTGCTCTGTGTAGAGAAGCAAAAGCCTGTAAAGTGTTAAAGATGACAGTAATACAGTTGTCAGACTATCCATCTACATAACAAAAAATGCATTAAATACGTTTTGAGAGAAAAAGTCTATTGGAGACCTGCACTGTATTAGGTAAAGGACATGCTCCAGAAATAGATATTGTTCAAGGATACTGTAGTGAGTGAGGACAGAGGATGTACCTGGTCATTTATACATGACTGCTCAGTTTTTCTGGCAGTTCAGTTAACAGAGCGATTTGTGGACTAGAAACCTAACAGAGCATCATAGCAGAGATGACAGGAAACTAAACAGCAAAGGAGCTTGAAGGAAAGAAAGAATTGCAATGCACAAACACAGCAACAGTGAAACAGAACAGTTACAAAAAAAAGAAAAAAGAAAAAAGATCACTGAATATGCAAACAATATGAAGAAACCAACTACAGTCACCAACTACTGTCAGGCAGGAGTGCCCAGAGTGCTACAGAGTGGGCAGGTCTACATGTGTATCTCAGAGCTTTTGAAAAGCAGACAGAAACAAGGAAGTAGAGATGCATTTAAATAATAAATACACAATGCTTCAATTCTGTACCTGAAAAGCTATAGCCTGACTGAGGCTATCTAGAGCAGGGTCTTCTCCTTCCTCTTCACTTTCTTCTTCTTCCTCACTTCATTGTGCAGAAAGAAAAATACATAGATCTTTAAGTGCTCAGTATGAAAAAGTTGGCTAAAAGAAGTATTCAATGTAAATAAATATACATACATTTCTTCTGGCTCAATTATTTTCTTTCTCTTCTTCTTTTCTTTTTTTTTTGGTGGCTCCCGCTCTCCTAGCATATTTTTAGGACAAGCATAACTTAAGTGTCCTGCTTCCTTGGAGAAAAAGAAATACTGCTTAACAGAAACCATGACAAACAACTATATGTTAAAACTTATCATGAGGAAAGTTAATGCAAGATAGTTCATGGGGGAAAAAAATTGAAGCAATTAGTGAGATAAACGGAATGCTGAATTAGCACACAGAAGACAAACTCTTCTCTATAAGCTTGCCATGGAAACGAAGAGATTGGTGGCGACGTGCACCTTTAACAGCAAACTGAGAACAAGCTACGAGCAAAGTAGATTTTCTTTGTCTGCTGCAATAGCTGAATACACTACAGCACAGTTTACATTCAAGACAAGATATAAACCTCAGCATTAACAGTTTAAGAAATAGGAGTGAGTCAACATTTTTGCTCTCAAAAGTGTTATGAATACAAATCAAGTTTGTGTTTGATGTTAAAAACTATCCAAATCTTAATCTCTTATGTTATTATATTAAGGAAAAGTGAGGAATTGCCTAAAATTTAAAACACACTATTCTGTGTAAAACCAGCTGTTTCCAATATTTATTTTGCAACCAACTATATAATAAACTTCCAAAGATACAGCAAAAGCAGGTATTTTGAAGCAGATAAGGAGGTTTTTCCTTCTCATACCAATACTCACCTCTGTCTGCTCATCAGCACGTTAAGCAGCAGTTATAAGCACATATTTTCCCCCACCCCAAAAATCCCAAATAAAAGACAAAAGGAGTATTATCATTCTTGAAAAAGGTACAATTGCTATGCAAGTTGACACTATCAACAGAAAAAAAAAATTAACACCATAGGCAGGAATAGCAATGGCCAAACTGAAGAAAAAAGCTAGAATATAGGAGTTCATTTTTGGTTTTACTCACCCCACATTCATAACACTTAGACTTATCAAAGTAGTTACGCCTGCGAATGAATTCTGCTGCTCTTCCATTATCAATGGCAATACTTGCTTTTATTACTCTTCCAAACAACTACAGCAAATTGGAAAAAAAGGTAAATATTTTGGGGCTGTAAACACAAACCTCCTACCAGAACAACTTTCCACAATTTACCTGTTTGTTATTAAGTGCCCGAGAACAGTTTTGTGCAGATTCTTTATCCAAAAACAAAATAAAGGCAACTCCTTTGCTCTTCCTGGTGTCTTTGTCTTTCATAATAGTAACTCTGAAAACATATAACCACATTGTTGATACACTAAAAACACTCCACAGATATTTGTTCCTTAAAGATCGCAGTGGGATCTTAGCTTTGTTATACAGCAAAAAGAAAATAAAGTATATTTATCAATAAAAAACCTTCTTAAACAGAAATGCAAAGGAACAGCTAACCAGGCCATGTGTTTATAGGTAAAGTGGAGATGATTTTAAAAAGCATGTGAGGTCTTGCTGGGTCCAATTTCATTCTTTATTCCCTTGGATCACTTGAAGAACAGAGAACATACTCTTCAGATTTGCAGACAACTTAACCGGAGGGAACTACACATACTGGAGGCGAAATTAAAATTCAGGAGTAATCTTAACTATTGCTATAATTGCTGAAAAGCACAGTGTATTGAACTGCATCCAAACTGACAATTCTGTGTTTCTGTAGGACTAACCAGCTAAACAGGTTCATGATAGGAAGTGATAAGTATATGCAGTACTGTTCTACAAATATCTCCAACTGGAATCCAAGCAGGTCATGGATGCATGTGTTATTTTATATGACATACAAATTAAATCTTCGGTCTACCATTGGAATCAACAGCTCCAGTAGCACATCAAGAAATTCAAGAAAGATTTATACCAGTGAAAACAACACACAAATAAGAAGAATGACAAGATATGAAGGGGGAGTGGGGGACACGTCCACACAACCTGCGTTCTGTCCATCTTAACAATTGTATTTAGCCTTAAAAAAAACAACAGTGGGAAACAGGATGCCAGTCTGCAGGCACATAAAAATGAAACCACATGTTAAAAAGTAGGGAATAAATTCCTCCCTGTGTCCACCATGGGCTGAACAAGGTTCAGCAATAAGGCAAACCAAAATTACAAGAAGTAATAGGACCTTTATCCAAAAAAAACCCCAAACCCCGCTTCAATGCATAAGGCCTAACAGAGAACCTGTATAAATAACAGATGACCTACATAGTAAAAAGTGTGTAAAATAAAAGCTCAGTAGAGAAAGCTCAATTTTCCCCCAAATACATGCATAGAAAGATAGAGGTTAGAACAGTTTTTCTACTGAAGCCTCTTGGACAAGGATATGTCCAACTGAATGCATTGAGTTGAAGTGTCAATAAAATTTACTTTAGAAAAATTCTATTAATTCTTTTGCCAAGTTACTCTTCCAAGAGTTCCAATTGAACCCTAATATGACTGTCAGGCTTCTAATTGGGATATGGAATGTACCAGTTAGTAACACAAGCATAGGAAGAAACAAGTGTGACAAATCTTCAAAAAGTCAGCAACTTCTCGGAGCCCTAGAAAGTCTGATTTCTCACTGAACAAAGCTGAAATCGTAACAGTCAGGATATACCGGGGTGATAAATGCAGCATGGAAAAGTCAGCATGCTTTTGCTATGTCAAGACACACTTCAAAAAAAAGATCTATTAAAGCTTTTTTAGTTAAGTTAAAGCTGACCTAGATAACATTGCAAAGCTCTCTGCAGTGTTAAAACAACTTTAAAACAACTTTAAAACTTTAAAAAGTCCCCGAACAAAGACTCTACAGAAATCAAGCTAATATTTCTAAGATTTTTGTTGGGAATTAATAACTAGTTACGAACAGGAAAACTGATCCTTGTTAAGCTCAGTTTCACAGTGAAATGGGAATACTAGTAGAATTCCACAGTATTTGCATTGTTTATAGTCAGGTCAGCTTGTAAAAGGAAAGGGAAACAAATTTTGCTAGATACGACAAAAATACAGAGTAGTATTTTTACACGTGGTATTCTGTGACTGCATTTCATTTAACTTCTCGCAGTGACTAGACAAAATGTCAGGAAAAAACAGGCATCAGTAAGTGAATTTTTGGCAAAACATATAGGTAGGGGAAAACAGGAACTGCACAGATAGAACTGCAAGGTCTAAATTAGGTACTTTCACCCAGGACACATCACAGGATTTCTTCATAGGCATCTGAAAACACCATTTCTGTTGTCTACAACAGTGAAAAAAGAAAGCAAAGAAAACTCTAGAAACTATTAATATAGGGGGAAAAAAAAAAAGAGAGAGAATGCTGCTATCACACCTTTAAAATAAGCAATGCATTGTACAGCCAATACTTCATACAATTCTCATCCTCCTATCAAACAATTTCAAAAGCCAAGACAGTAGGAGACTCCTATCCCCAAACACACAGAGTATAGGTACATTACCAAATGATAGCAGGTACATTACCAAATGATAGCAGGGAGGTCAGAAGTGTCAATTTTATGGAGAACAGGCCCCTCAATGGGTGTTAAACACTAAGTATTACTACAACCCTAGCTCAGGATTTTTTCTAGATTGGCAGTTCAGCAATTAACTAAACCAGGACATTCACTCCACTCTGGAAACAAAGACTATAGCTGCCCAGTTGCCTTGGTCACTGTATGTCTGCCAAAGCTGTATGTAAGGGCTTTTGTCTCAGTCAATTTAAAAAATATATTTTTCTAAAGATGTAGTTTGGCTTTTCCTGCTAGTTGTCACCTGAAACACACTCCTGAGACTTCAAAAACTTTTAATTTAGCTCTGTATCTCACAGATTATTACAGCAGCTGCTATATGCTACACCAGATATTTGCTGGTGTAGGGTTGAAATCTTCAGCCTTGAATCTCATTATTCTGACTAGTTAAAAAATAAACAAACAAAACAGTAAGTTCCTTACCATGGCAGCATTTATTTCTATCATTTGAACACAGAGGCAGGTACTCACATGTTCATGAATATTCCACATATTAAAAGCCATTACTATGCAGCCTTATGTCTAATCTTAAATATAATACTGAGCAGTCATGATAACAAGTCCCTCTATAACCCCAAATAGAGGAACTGTACATTGTTATTGTGGGAACTGTGACAATGACTAGTGACTCATGTGACTAGTTCACATATGTAGAAGCTCCCACTTTAACATTTATCCACTTGTGTTCCAGGTGGTGTTCAGGGGAAGGGGAACAACACTTACTAGGAGGTAAAGCCTTTTCTCTGAAAAGGAGAAAAGGCCATTGGTATATAACAACATTCTACTTGCTCTTAAGAATTGGTTAGCAAAACCTGTCCCCAACACAAATATTCTTACATTATGCATGTAACTGCAAGAACTTCCAGTTGTTAATTAAATTTATACTTTATTGAAAATGAACAGGACTTCAATACAGTTCCACATTTGTAGTTAAATTATAAAAAGCACAAGACTTTCAAGTGAAGCTAAGATATTAAATATTTAAAGTGAAAGCTACAAAAATAGCAGGCCATTATCAGGTCACTTACTTGACTACCTTCCCATACTTTGAAAATATCTGAAATATGAAACAAAATAAAAAGATTTAACAATAGACAATTGCATTTCATTACCAATAAATTTATCAAGACAAACTTTTCTAAGAGGTATGTACGAGTATTGTATTTACACTCAAAATCATCGTCAACAAGTTAAAACTGCACAATGTGGCTCTTAAAAACTTACCCGGTATAGATCGTTGTTTGTCAGAGCAAAGGGTAAATTGGACACGTACACTGTGCTTTTGCTTGGTGCCAACCCACCACTCATTTTCCTGATGAGAAAGGGGGAAGAATTAAATTGTATCCAACAGAGCAATAAAACAGTTGCAAGACTTTTTAAAAGTTGCTTTTCAAACTTAGCCCAGACTGTCACGATTAAGTTGCAGGAAAGCACAGCTTTCATTTCCCTTTCATCACTTTACATGAAATTAGTGTATGCCTCCATGTGCTACATAAGACATACATTCCTTCCCTCTCCCCTGGATCCAAAGCATAGTTTTGCTGTATGGGAGTCAGTTTTTTAAGTCATGTAAAAACAGACAAGTTAGTGTACTTAAAATAAGCCTCTGCTGATTTGTGCAGTAAAGAAACATTTAGGTCCGGAAAGAAACAAGCAATCGCCATTTATGAAACTTTCTGGACAACATGTGAAATTAACGACCTTTGTTCGAGCAGATTCTTTATAGGAGCTTCAGTTCAGCTGCATTCAACACACAATAAGCCACACTCAGTTAACGGGGTGGGTGGGGGGAAATCTTCCCTAAAGCAAAGTCCTAACTATCGAGGGGAAAAATACACTGTATTGGGTCTGACCGGGATGGAGTTAATTTTCCCCACAGCAGCCCTCATAGTGCTGTGTTTTGTAAAGGTGTTGATAACACCCCAGTGTTTTGGTTACTGGCGAGCAGTCCTAGCACAGCACCAAGGCTGGCTCTCTATTTCCCCGTTGCCAGGAGGCTGGGGGTGGGGAAGGTCTTGGGAGGGGGCACAGCCAGGACAGCTGACCCAAACGGACCAAAGGGATATTCCAGACCATATGACGT